AATGTCATTTGTCTTCGCAAGCGGCTGCTCCACTTGGTGAACTGAAGACCACTTTACCGACTTCCACTCGCAGACATACGTGCGCGCACACACGTACGCACACGCGTGCCCACGTAGTCGCGGCTCCCTAAGGACCACTTCACACACCACCCCTTTGGCCGACGCAGCAGGAGGCCTTTGCAGGCAACATCCCCACCGGGCAACTTGCAACACACCAAATAGCAAACCACTTGAACTCGCTTCACAGTCATGTAAAAGCAGCCGTCATCACCCCACACAACAGACAGTGGACACTCTCAGGCCTGGCTGGACGCGATCAGGACCAGCCCTGGCTTCGCCAGTGGCCACTGCCACCGGAGACTGCAACTGAGAATTCTGTATACAATAAACCTCTCTTACAGGTGACTCTTGTCCTTCACCTCCAACCTGGGATTCGACCTGATGATTGTAGCGATCCGAGTGCAACCATCACTTAGACGCCTACAATGCTTAGATGAGATAGTACATTTTACAAACCGATTTTTTTCGCCACTTGAGCAGAATTTCACCCACCCACTCAAACATTTGTATCATTTCAGTAATTATGAAGAAATGGTGCCAAGCCGCGTGCCTAGTTGACTGACAGGCTCTGACAGTTCACATAAAGGACGGTAAAACAAGGTTATTATTTCCGGGCTGTGAGAGATATAGAATCAGCGAGCGATCTCAAGTCGTAGGAAACGGTCAAAAGTAGCCATCGACACCGAAATGAGCAAAGTTTATCAATTGGACGACGTCGCGATAACAGGCCAGTAGGCCAAACACTGGAAGAAAAGCATAAAAGTCAAAAATCCCACTCTATGATTCAAAACAGCAAAATACAAGAGCACAGGATTACAACATTCGTATGAATTGTCTGTAACACGGCCAAATCTGGGTTGGTAGTCGTCATTTTTGAAAACGATTACCGAGGTAGGTAAAATCATATTCAAGTACTGCGCGCTCTGAACTGTAATCCAGTGAGCTATTGTGCCCGTGAGGGACAGGTCAGGTACCCAAAACTATCAGAACACCATTTTGTGATGACTTCTCGATCTATTGTTGTGGGAGAAATAATCGAGTAGCCCACGAGGGCCGCAGCTACGTACAGCGCCACGATGTGGCTAAGTTGTGCCATCCTGATTTTCTCAATTTCTGTGGACATTAGTACGCGAGCTTGTAATAGATCCTCTAGAACAAACCTATGTCAGGCTCGGGCAGACAGTTGATATGGCTATTTGAGCAGACATATATCAGCTACTGCAGAATAATTGCGTAATATTCACAAACTGCTAACAGACAGTCAGTAATGTAAACTACGTAACAGGAGTTATGCCTGTTAAATAAAATGACAGTATCTATGGGTCAGATCATACTGTCAATTTGTCGGTAAAATCCTTGGCATGGGTAAGGTCTGCTGTACCACTGCACCGGTTCCGGTTCACAACAGGCTAACTCGACCGGTCAATCTTCCCTCTGTAATGAGGTACGTTTTTAATCGGTGGCCCATCCTGCTTAAGTAGGTTCCTGATTGGATGTTCGGAAGGGTACTACGTGCTTTGGATAGTGTCGGATGTGGAACAGGACGCCGATTGACTGACTTAGACTAGGTCCGCTACAATGGACTATAGACAGGACGACGAACTGCAGTTTCACGGGTGAATGAGGTCGCTAAATCGACCGGTTTATCCAGCACAGCTATTTGTGACCAGAAGAGCCCTTCCCGGCCTGAAGAAATAGATAATTTCGACTGCCCTGCAAGGTTTCCATCAAATTGACAAAGCTAGGACTATACCGTAATCCGAAAAATGTGATGTTTCTGTCTCTTCAAAAATCCGCGCGTACCGGACATCCACCCAATTACTCTCTCTGTAGGCTTGTGAAGATTAAATCATGCGTGCGGGAAATGAGTGAAAATCGGAGGCGATTAATCGCCATCGCCTGTGAACCGCCTAGAGGGAAACAGTTCCCACTTGCCGCAATATGTCCAGTCGACCATGCAAGGCAAGTGAGACGGCTTGATCACGTTCACTGCAGCTCGTCCAATAAATTCAGAGTTGCCACACTCGATTCGACGTAGCTACCAAGCTGAAGGAGTCTGGGGAGAATAAATGATCAAAATCTGGTTCAACAGGGCCTGTCTAGACACATAGTCCTGGGCTCTTTGAGATTTTGTCTCCGTCACTGGAGACTACAGGTGGTCGATCTTTCTAGGTGCGCTAACGCAGACAGTCACGCGTGAAAATACAATCAGCGACAGTATTCAGGCTGGCTAGATTAGGCGTGAACACCGTCGTATCAAATAAGCAGGTAGTTAAACAGATAAAAGCTTAGAGGCCCTAAACCTGTACAAAAAGGCCAGTCAAGGTAACCTACGTGGTACATCCGAGTAGAACGTGCTCTGAACCCGCCAACACCCAGGTTTAGTTGGCGACGAGCGTTGGCACTAGCTGACTTGCCCTTTGCGTTCGGATCTCGCGACTTGGCTGCAGACATCTTGAGAGCGAAATAATGTGTAAAAAGACAGTCAAACAGGTAGGAGATATGGAATGGGATCTTTAAGAGTAGAATGCAGGGAGTGACAAGGAAACAATCCAGTAGATATGAATAGCTGGGAAGCCAAAAGAAAACAAGGATAGGAATGTTGGGTACTGACACGCCTAATGAACTCGCAGTAGGTGCATACATATTCCCACTAGAGCGAGTACAAGAGACTGTGTAGTTAGAACTTATATGACAGAGCGTAACTGCAAAGTTGCAAGCAATTTCGAGTTAGGGGCATAAAAACAAAGTAAAAATCGAAGGTTACGAATGTCGGAGACTTGATAAACACAAAGGAGAAAAATGCATACGAATGCGCGGTGTGTACAAGGGAAGATCTTACCGCTGAAGTTGGGGCTGCATTTGCACGATCTGCCGTTGAATTTGATTCACTACCGGCCAGCTGATGAGAAGCATCTTCCTCCGAGATGACACTGGGCGACTTTGTTTCAGCGTACGTGGTGGAGATGGTTTCGACTTCAGCGTCTGCAGCGGACTGCTGAGATGCTTCGTCTTCCATCTGAAGGCAGTAGAAATGAGTAGACACTGCGTGAAACCAATTCAACCTCCAAAGATGTCGGTATTTTCCAGCTCAACAAAGACAACCTGGATAGGCAACTTTTGACAACCACCGAGACATTTCTCACGTCCACACTGTAAGGAAGATCTTTGCGAGGGCAACACTAAATTGCCTGGACACGACTCCCTTCAGAAACTAACTGACACCTCCTCCCCTCTATTAACTGAATTCCGCCCAAACTGAGGAACCACAGGTAAGATCCTCATCGTTGCAGCTGCAAGATCGGTTTTAACACCCCCCATTGTGGATGCGACAAACAGCATTGAAACGGCCAATTAAAATGGACTCGGGAAAGTTCAAACCAGGAGGCGCACAGCGATTCACACAGTGTGAGACTAATGTGTGGTGATGACAAATCGACTGATGGACGGTTGCCTAATCGTTCTTAACACCTTCAGTCTTATGTTCTCCGTCATGCTGGTGGAGACCTAGCGTTAATAGCGGTTGGCAATCAATATTTGCTACGTTGCTGGTTGAAAACAGCCCAACATTTGCACATGCAGACTCCAGCCAGAGATTTCGAGGCCAGTGTCCACGATCTCTTGTCCGCAAACCTTTTAAGTCCTCTACAATTTCTTTAGGAAGAGGTATAGCAGCAGTTAACAAAATGGCCTACCGGAGTAAACACAGACGGGGGAGCGCAATCGTTCACAGAGCCGGCATCTGGAGGGGAAGTGGAGAAAAATGGTTACTTAGAGCTGAAGGCAGCAGTGGACGAATGAGTCCATAGCATTGAGGGGGCTGCAGCAACGACAATGGGTAAACTACATACCATAAAACATACCCGGAGTTGCAGATGGTGCGCACGGGTGCGAGGCGCGCCGGCCTCCGGCTAGGTGACGTTTAGGATGTCCCTTCAGCATGACCTGGCGAATGGTATTGAGACCAGTCTCGCTGAGGACGACGCCGTCCATGAAAAATTGGCTAAGAGTAGAAGAAAGGGATGAAAACTCATGGTTCCTAGTACATCATACATTTGGGGAGACTAAAAAGTTCACTCCAAGAAGGCGATAGCACCAAAAGAAGCATGACACAATGGAGTCAAGGTAGGATAGGGCTAGAGCACTTACTGAGGATCAGGGGGCGATACTTGTTCCTCATCTGAACGCGCAGCAGACGATCCAGCAGACCCAAAAGCCATCCCGGGAGAACAGGAGGACTAAAAAGAACAAGTAAGCATAAGATGTGGGATAAAAATTGGGTAAAACAGCAGAAGACTGACCTAAATGGTAGATTAGCG